AATGACTGCCATATTTCATATAGCCGTAACTTTTACATTTTTTGATGAAATGCTTTGAAACTTATAACTTAAGGATATATTAGTAGAGTGGACAAGATGACATGGTCAAATCAGCATGAACTCACGCGCATGCACGTGCGCTTCGCTCTGATTGGCTGAAACAAAAGTCTCAGTATCTTTTTTGTTTTTTGACAAAATACTTTGAAATTTAGAACATAGTCATACATTGGAAGGTTGTACAATATAATATATAAGAATTATCATGAAAACACGCGCATGCACGTGTGCTGCAATCTGATTGGCTTAAACTTTATATGACTATAACTTTCTTGGTTCTCAACAAAACAGGATGAAATTTAGAATATAAATAGGTACAAGAGGCCCATGGGCCTTGAATCGCTCTTCTGATAAACTGTACAACCTATCACTTCTATTTGAAGCCTCGAAGTATCCTGTATATTTACATAAACCCTTGAAATTCCAATTCACACTCTGAGAACCCAAGATGATTCTAAGCCAATTAGTACCTGAGAGTTGGTCATGGTGACCTACTTATCACTTGTCATTCTCTGAGGACCCATCAACTAAGTTTGATGATTCTAAGCCAATTAATACCTAAAATATTTTTTAAAATTATTATCATAAAATTTTATAAGTAGGTCAAAGTGACCTACTTTTCAATTGTTTTACTCCAAGGACCCAAGATGCATCAACTGACAAAGTTTGATGATTCTAAGCCAATTAGTACCTGTATTATTTAATTAAAGACATAAATTTTCAAAAGTAGGTCACTGTGACCTACTTTTCAGTTGCTGTACTCCGAGGATTAAAGATACATCGACTCCCAAAGTTTGATGATTCTAGCCAATAAGTACCCAAAATATTTAATTACAGCCATAAATTTTCAAAAGTAGGTCAAAGTGACCTACTTTTCAGTCAGCCTACTCCGAGGACCAAAGATGCATCAACTGACAAATTTTGACGATTCTAAGCCAAATAATTCCTGAAAATATTAAATACAGCCATAAAATTTCAAAAGTAGGTCACCGTGACCTACTTTTCAGTTGTTGTACTCCGAGGACCCAAGACGCATCAACTGACAAAGTTTAATGATTCTAAGCCAATTAGTACCCGAAATATTTGATTAAAGCCATAAATTTTCAAAAGTAGGTCATGGTGACCTACTTTTCAGTTGTTGTACTCCGAGGACCCATGACGCATAAACTGACAAAGTTTTATGATTCTAAGCCAATTAGTACCCGAAATATTTTATTAAAGCCATAAATTTTCAGAAAGTAGGTCACGGTGACCTACTTTTTAGTCGATCTACTCTGAAGACCCATGACGCATCAACTGACAAAGTTTGATGATTCTAAGCCAATTAGTACCCGAAATATTTAATTAAAGCCATAAATTTTCAAAAGTAGGTCATGGTGACCTACTTTTTAGTCGATCTACTCCGAAGACCCAAGATGCATCAACTGACAAAGTTTGATGATTCTAAGCCAATTAGTACATCTGAAATATTTAATTAACGCCATAAATTTTCAAAAGTAGGTCACTGTGACCTACTTTTTAGTCGACCTACTCCGAAGACCCAAGATGCATCAACTGACAAAGTTTGATGATTCTAAGCCAATTAGTACCTGAAATATTTAACTATAGTCATATAAATTGAAAAGTAGGTCACGCTGACCTACTTTTCAGTTGACCTTTTTTGAGGACCAAAGATGCATCAACTTACAAAGTTTTATGATCATAGGACTTAAAATGTCCAAATTATGCCTCTAAAACGCTTTGAAATCGAATGCCTGCAAAGTTCAAAAAGTAGGTCACTGTGACCTACTTTTTAATAAATATGTTTTATGGCCCCAAGAGGCATCATCTTACAAGATTTAATGATTCTTAGCCTCCCCGTATTCAAATTAATGACCTTAATTGTTTTAAAAAAGATTAGCCATAAAATTCAAAAAGTAGGTCAAGGTGACCTACTTTTTAAGTGACGTACTTTGACGACCCAAGATGCATCAACTGACAAAGTTTGATGATCATAGGCCTTAAATTGTTCAAAATATGCCTCTAAATCATTATGAAAAAGAATGGCCGCAAAATTTGAAAAGTAGGTCACTGTGACCTACTTTTGAGTCAACATGATATGAGGTCCTTAGATGCACCAACTGACAAGATTTGATGATCCTAGTCCTTATAGTAAGCAAAATATCAACATTTTAATGAAATGTAATTTTTGGTCAACTTTGAAGTGACCTTGAGACCACGCCCTTTGCCCCAGGGTAAATCCCCGTGCAAATTTAAATCTACAACATATCCTCATCCTTTTGTGTAAGTTTGGTGATAATCTGCCCATTGGTTCTTGAGAAGAAGATTTTTTAGCAACCAGTACTTTTGTTTCTATTTTCCTAATTATCTCCCCTTGTTAAAGGGTCACAACCCCAGTTTTAGTATAAAAGGGAGCCCTTGGGCCAAGGATACCCTGTGACAAATTTGACAATAATTGGCCAAGGGGTTCTTGAGTTATGGCCCATATTCTAAAAAGTTTACGCACACCGCACAAATGGCCATAGCATTAGCTCTTTGAGCCTTTGGCTCAGAAGAGCTAATAATGGATTCCAACATTATGTTACTATCAAAATTGAATGCAGGACCATGCATGCGCGTGCGCGCACGTGCAATGCGAAAAATGACCAATATACTTGATATAGCCGTTACTTCTATACTGTTTGATGAAATGCTTTGATTCTTAAAATATAGAGAGATACTAAGGGTGTAGAAAAGATGATATGGTCAACATGCACATACATTCATGTGCGGGCTCGTGCAATGCTAAAATGACCTATAAAATTGATATAGCTGTGACTTTTATACTTTTAGACGAAATGCTTCAATATTTATAATATTAATGGTGTAGACAAGATAGTTTGGTCAACATGCACATGCATGCACGTGCGCGTGCGTGCAATGCTTAAATGAACAATATACTTGATATAGCCGTAACTTTTATATTTTTTGATGAAATATTTCAATACTCAGAATTAAGATACATTTATAGTATAGACGAAATGACATGACCATCCTGCACATGCATGCATGTGCGCGCGCGTGTAATGCGTAAAAAAACAATATACTTGATTGCCTTATTCAGTGAAGCTTACAGGGAATAAGACACCAAAAGGGAGTTGGGGAGCGTTTGGGGAACATCTGTAACGGTCCCCGTTACAATTATAACTAGTTACCAGTGGGAATATTAATATTTAGTGGGTTTAAATGGATTTATTATTCTATGAAGTTAACAGTACCTATAACAAGTGGTAATTACATTATGAATATATTATTTTAAAAGTTTAGTATAGAACTTACGGGGTTTGTTTGTTTGTTTGTATGTTGTTTAACGTCCTGCTCGAGAATTTTTCACTCATGTGGAGATGGGTGGAGGGCTGCAAATTTTAACCTATGGTTGGCACTTAGGGCCATTGAGCAGTGAGGGATCTTTTTCATGCCAACACCTATTGCGACATGGGACCTTCGTTTATGCAGTCTCATCTGAATGACTGGTCTCCACTTCCGCATTGGATTCGAACCCGAGACATAAGGATCAACTCCTTACTCTGCGACTCTAGAGCAGATGCTCTAGCCACTGCACCATGCGGGCGACTAGAACAGGGTAAAATAATCAGAAATGAAAATGATTAGGGAAAGGGTAAAAAATCATTGGAATGCCACAATAATACAAATTATACAATCAGGCAAGCCCCTGGGGTCATTCCCACTCTTTGGAAACAGAAGCAATAAAAAAGCTTCATTAAAGCAAAAGCTCCTAAGTCATCTTTGTAATTATGACACACTGAATAGGATATATGGGGTCATGACCCCCAGAGGTCATTCCCAACCCCTAAACTTCAAATGATCATATACACTCATCTTGAAAATGGTTGAAAACTCCCCTTAACCATATATAATATTGTCCCTTGAGTCAGTATGCATTAAAAGGGTATAAAGGCTATGACCCCCTTGTCTGAATCAGAATTTATTCAAAAACTTCTGCATGAGAGGAAGAAAACACTTGCTGTGGCTTTCAACTTGACATTTCAATATGTTGACGATGTATTACCAATTAACAATAATTACTTTCATTCATATGTCGACTCGATATATCCCAATGAGCTTGAAATAAAAGATACCAAAGATTCTGACATATCTGTTTCATATTTAGATATTTTACTAGAAAAAAAACGTTAAATGTTATTTAATTTTTTTAAATATTGTTTATATAAAATCATGTAGACCAGATCATATTTCAACATGCTTGTTATCACGTGATTCTCTTAGCCAATCAAATTCATAGCTTCTTGTCTAGATCTGCAACTGTTGTGTTTACATCTCAAAGAATTTCTTCAGATTCCTTCTGAATTTATATCGATCTCATAACAATAACTTGGATTTATGTTATGTATTTGTTATATGTGGTCTATTTTAAGTGGTGAATTCTAAACAGTATGTGACTAAAGCTAGGACACACGTGCATTTGTTTGTTTACATGTTAAAGCCGAGTGACTTGAACTTTAGCCTTAGGCCTATAGGCCTCTAAGTGAAACTGTCTACAAGAAACATGACCGGAAGAAAAAGAAAACAAAGTAATACTACAGGAAGGAATGTGTGTTCTCGTAGTGAGAGCGTCTCGAGATGGGATGTGAATGTTCCCGAAAATTGGTCGACAGCCGAGTTAATTCAGAAACTGAAAGACGCTAATATCGTGGTGCCAACTTCGTTAAGGAAATCTCAATTAGTGCAAATTTATCGGGATAATGTCCAAAACGATCAACAAGATCTTAACAGACTAAGGAAGCATCGACCTAAGCGAGAGCCAAAATGGCGATGGAATAAATGAACTTCCGGCATCTTCAGATAGAGTCCGCGAGAACGAGGCTGGGTGGAAGTCAACGAGTGAAACGAAAGTAGAGGCACTGAGTCACGCAATTGGAAAAACACCTACATAACCTTATACATGGGCGCAGACATTTTGGACACCCAAAGTTGTGCGGAGAAGAAAATGCTACACGGCACATGATTGGTCATTAAGAGAAAAAACTTGTTATGTATTTGACAAGTGAAATAAAGGTGATAAAAATCTCATATCAAGACTTAGGCTTCTTTGAGATATATAGGAGATACAGGTAAAAATTTGAAGGGAGGGGTGCACTTTGATTAGAGATTTTCATTTGGTGCTGAACGCACCTAGTTGTAAACAAATGGAATTTGAAAGTAAAAGTGCAACGGCACGGTATATTTTTTCTGGCATGTTTTGTTTTGCAAGATCTCGAACTTTCACGGCAAGAAAGTCATTTGCCCAAAATTGAATATATGAATCAGTGACAGGGGCTCAACTTTGTATGGAAGTCTATGGGAAAACATTTGGTGGTGTTTGTCCTATAGAGTAGGTATGTATATTGCATAGGTAAACGTTGATTACAGCCAGAAAATCAATCAATTCCTATATTTTTGGCATTGGGATTATACTTTGGTTAATATTTACTATCTGTATAGAAATCAGAGGGTTTGGGTAAACTGAGGCCCCCAATGGGGACTCCACATGGTGCAAAAATGCCAAAATTTTCCCCTTTAGCTATCACATTTGCAATAAATGTACATGTAAATAATTTTTAATGAATATTTATGCTGAAATTTACTTGGAATGTTGTAAATAATACAATATTGATAATTATTGGCATCATTAATACACAAAATAGATGAATATCCCCCTCGCAGCTTGAGAAATTCATTTAAATCCATGTGTTTTATGAGTGTAGACATTGGTATAGATTGACTAAACATCTTTCAAATTTGTGTTAATCAGAGTTAATGGAATAATTCTTAACAATATTTGACTGTTTTGTTAACTAAATAGTTTACTTTCTTTTGACATAAGGGGCCTAATCCAGCTGCAAAGCAGATTTCAGTCATCTCATTAGTGCTGGTTTGAAATAAAAGTTGTGCTTTTGGTGTAACTGAGAGGTTACTAGTAGGATATTTTATTAAAATTACTGTACAATATATTGCATAAGAAAATACATTGAAAATGCAAGAAATGTGCAAAATTATAAGTGAAAAAAATGGTGAAATGTGTTTCTAAATATCCCTCCCCCTTGTCAGATCCCATCTTGATATGCTGTAGAAAAAAAGGGGGGGGGGTATATTTGTGCTCTAATGATACTAAAAAATGAAGGAAAAGAATTTTAATGTAGTATATTTGAATACCAAGAGTAATTCTTATCTGCAGTAATTTTTTTAAAATTTCTTGAGCATTTTTTTTAGTATTATCTGAGTAAATTTTATTAAAACATTATTATTTTTAAGCTATTACATAACAAATGCTTATAAAAAATTCAAAAGATGGTGTAAATTATAATTAATTATAATATAAATTACTATATGCATGTATCAGTATGTTTTAATAAAATAAAATGTATTTCAGCTATGCATCATCAAGAAGGAGAAGTTTAATGAACCCTCCCCTCTTACAATGAACAACATATGGACACTCCCAGGATGAACACTTTGCATTCATTAAGAGTTCCCAGGTATGGTTTTCTTAGCAAATCTAGTTAATCTCTTAATATTTAAGTTATTTAGAACTTTTTAAAGATTATTAGAATAAAAACTTCCTCAGAACTGCAGTTATTTAAGCATTTTGCTTACAACTGAGCCCTGTATTCAGACAGACAACATGATTTATCTGCCCTTGGCATTTAATCAGTTTAATAATTATGTCAATAATTAGAAATGATATGCAAATAAATATATTTGCCTTTCATGAGAATATACATATTTAACATTTATTACATGAAATTTCCTATAATAATGGCTAAAATGTAGGTCACCCTCTTCAGAATTACAAAATTTTCAGTGGGGGTGTATTTGATTCTCTGATGCCAGCAACCCATTCCTGATATAATTTTTTCTAAATCTAATGTTCTTTTAATATCAAACATAATTCTCTTTCTTTTCATTGATTATTTAACCTACATTAGCTTTTCCTCTTTCCATAACTGAGCATTTTCTTACAAAAACCTGCTGATTTTTTTCATTTTTCATTTATACTGGGTACCTGATACCCTTATTGATTAACATGATCTGTCTTAAGAGATTATGAGAGATAGTAAGAAAAACAAGCAAAACATATGCTAGATTAATCATTTTATTTCAAAATTTTGAAAGAAAAGTGGAAAAATGCTTCAATTTATAGACATTTTTTCTATTTCACAGGTATAGGTCTGATTGACTGGGGTGTGAAATATAACAGCCAGTGGTGTACTTCAGCTGGGACTGTCAGTCCCTATATTCATGAGGTGAGATAACCGATGGATATGTGTTCTAAATTTACTAAATTGACCACTTTTTACAAGTGTTTTCTATATCTCTATAGGAAAAACACCTACATAACCTTATACATGGGTGCAGACATTTTGGACACCCAAAGTTGTGCGGAGAAGAAAATGCTACATGGCACATGATTGGTCATTAAGAGAAAAGACTTGTTATGTATTTGACAAGTGAAATAAAGGTGTTAAATATCTCATATCAAGACTTAGGCTTCTTTGAGATATAAAGGAGATACAGGTAAAAATTTGAAGGGAGGGGTGCACTTTGGTTAGAGATTTTCATTTGGTGCTGAACGCACCTAGTTGTAAACAAATGGAATTTGAAAGTAAAAGTGCAACGGCACGGTATATTTTATCTGGCATGTTTTGTTTTGCAAGATCTCGAACTTTCCAATTACGGCAATAGACAATATCCAGCAATCGCTTGTGTCGTTGACAAATGTTGTTAGCAATGTACAACAGCAAATCCCAAGCCATAATGCACCATTATTGGAAACAGACAGAACCAGTATACCATGCTCTCGTGTTCCATTGGATTCTGTTCCGTATGTTGAGTCCGTGTCCACACACCTTAGGAATAACATCATCCAAGGTAAGGATGTCAATTTGGCTGCGTTACTTTTGCCTCGCGAAAATGAAGAACATAAAATCCAAGATACAGAAGGTCGCTATATATTACTGAAACAAAATTCTGATGCCAGATTACAGAGAAATTAAACTTTAAGTGAGTTTATATTGGCATTCTCAAAATACAAAAACATTATCTGTGAAGTATATCCTGAGAGAAGGATAGAACTGGATGCATATGAACGGGATATCGTTGAGATGGCATCCATGACACGTGGTTCAGCCTTCTATGATTACCACAAGGCTTTTTCGGCAAGAGCCAGTGCCCTACTACTACAACGAAACATCAGAGTTGACTGGTCGATTAGAGATACAAAACTGTTTTCCACCATTTTTGCTGGCCAGACTGTTATAAGATGTGACAATTGCAACAGTGCTAACCATACTTCACATTTCTGTCCAAGAGCCAAGTTCCATACAGCTTCTAATAATTCCCCTTCAGGTCTGAACAGGAACAGAGGACAGCAAAACCAAATGGATGTTCAAGGAAGGCCCAGAATCACTCACAGGGGCAGAGAAATATGTAACAATTTCAACAGTGACACAGGGTGCAATAGACCCTCATGTAACTTAGTACATATATGTTCAACATGTAAGATGGGGAAGCATACCTCTACGCAATGTAAATCAATGTCAAAACAAAAAGAGAGCAACCAAAGTGAGAAACAATGACTAGTTAGTTCTTCCTTAGAGACAGTTTCTGGAAATCAAAATATATTAACTCCAATCAACATCAAAGCATTTAAGTCAGAATTACAACATCATCCAGACAGAAACTTTGTAGATACTTTTATTAATGGTTTGGAGAACGGATTTGATACCGGAATTTCTCAGCTGCCAACTACATCATTCGAATGCAAGAATTTAAGTTCAGCTAGGAAGAAACCAGAAGTAGTAGACACTTTACTCAAGTATGAAATTGACAAAGGTTATGTAGATGGACCATATGAGGAGCCACCTTTCGAAATCTATCGTATAAGCCCTATTGGTGTTGCTGAAGGAAAATATTCTAAGAAATACAGATTGATAGTAGATCTCTCATCACCGCCTGATTCCACATCCGAAGTTAGTATCAATAGTCTAATCGATAAGGAAGATTACTCACTGCAGTATGTCCGCATTGACGATGCCATAAGCATTTTGAAATCATTAGGTGTTAATTCATTGATGTGCAAGACTGACATTGTGGATGCATTCAAGTTGTTACCCTTGTCAAATTGTGTTCAACCTTTTTATGGCATAAAATGGAAAAACAAATATTACTTTTACAAACGATTAGTATTTGGGTGCAGAAGTAGCCCGAAAATATTTGATATGCTTTCGCAGGCCGTTTGTTGGATTTTAACCAATAACTACAAAATCAAACAGGTGCTACATTTGTTAGATGATTTCTTGACTTTGGATTCCACAGGCGAAGAAGGATTCAGAAGTATGGCTTTACTAACAATGGTGTTTAGCAAATTAGGAATTCCTATTTCGGAGAAGAAAACAAAAGGTCCATGTACCGAAATGGAATACTTGGGAATTATACTGGACTCTGTCAAAATGGAAGCACTTATTCCACCAGAAAAAATAGAGCATAATGCCATATATTTTCTCTCATTGGCAATTTCAAGACAAAACGTTCCTGCACAAAAAGAGAACTTCTCAGCATATTAGGGCATTTCAATTTCGCGGCACGAATTATTCCAGCAGGCAGATCATTCACTTCGTATCTTTTAACATTGGCCCATTCAGTTACTAAATTACATCATCATGTAAATTTAACGAAGGAATGCAGAATGGACTTGTCTATGTGGGAAAAAATTTTAAAGCAGTGGAATGGACACTCTTTCTTCTTGGAGGAAAATGTGACTTGTGCCTCAGACATATCCTTGTATACAGATGCTTCTTCTACCATTGGTTATGGAGGATACTATTATGGGGAATGGTTTCAAGGAAAATGGCCTCAAGAAATTCAAGACTTAGATGACAAGATTCCGAGAAGTAGCTCCAGCAGCAGCAGCAATGCCAGTACCAGTTCCATCCTTACAAGAATAATCCTGTACTAGAGAAAGAGTATAGGAACTTGTGTGAATCATCACTAAGTGACAATACTAGGACCGCTTTCAGAACAGGATTTACAGCATTTTGCCAATTTCTATCATCGATGGGTATAGAAGCGCCTAATTATCATCCATCAGAGATCTCAGAGCAAACCCTAATTTACTTTGTTACACACTGCTGCAATTCCCTAAAACTAACTTACAGTACCATCAAATTATATCTTGCCAAAACATCAAATTCACAACCTTCGCAGTTAATGGTCAAAAGATCGACTGTGTGTATTTCTAATCCTTTATCATCTTCAGTTGAAACATGTGCAAGGTTGCAAACAGTGATGAGAGGAATTCAAAAGCAACAGGGTTCTAAAGAGAAAAGGAGACCCATTACATACAGTGTTCTGATACAAATTCAAAACATCTTACAGCGGGGTATGTTCGGTTATTTCCTAGATACCATGTTGCAAGCTGCTTGCTCTTTAGAGTTCTTTGCATTTCTTCGATACGGGGAATTTACAGTGAACAATCTTAAGCAAGACAATTTATTGTGTGTGGAAGACGTAGTCATGGATCCAGATTTCAAGGCTTTTACCCTCATGCTCAAACGATCTAAAACAGACCCATTTCGTAATGGAATTCAGATCCATTTATTTCAATCAGGTCAAGCTGTATGTCCAGTTCAGTGCATGTTAAAATACTTAAACCTTCGATGAAAGTGGTGCAATTGTGTCATGTCTTCAGCCTTATTCTTGGATGAAAGTGGAAATCCATTATCAAGACATCTCTTCATTACTAATTAAAGCAGATACTCAAATCACTTGGTTTGGATGACGAGAAATTCAATGGTCACTCATTCAGAATAGGAGCTGCTACCTCTGCTGCCAGTGGCTAACTGGAAGACCACCTGATCAAAACTTTAGGTAGATGGAGTTCTCACTGTTATACCAGATACATCCGCTCTGATGATCAAACTTTGTCATGTGCCCAAAAAGCGATGTGTTGTCATAAACTTTCTAAGAAGGACTAGCAGTGTGTTTAATAATGGAAAGTTCTGTATATGTAGTTTAGGAGAAGTTAGCATGTAATTTTTATCAATTTATGTTCACATCATGTTGAAAATATTCCGTTAGTTTTCGATGAAGTAATAGCTGTATGTTAAATGATGAACAGTTCTGTGTATGTAGTTTAATTAGAGTAGCATGTAATTTCTAACATCTTATGCTCACTTCATGTTGACAATACTCTGTTACTGTTAGCATTTTAGTTGATGTCTTCAATTTAAATGTTGTAAGAATTCATTAATCCTATGAAGATTGAAGTTGTTAAACTAAGTATTTGTTTTTATTTGTTGTGTTCTATGGTGTATTTAACAAATGAATATAATAGGAATGTCCCAACATATTAAAGGGGCATTTTGAACTGAAGTTAAATGTTATTGACATGTAGTGTATTATGTGAAAATTATTTCTAGAAGATGACTTTGCTTTTGGTGTATCTATGTTCATTTGAATCTTTAATGTTTTTGGTATCAGATCAGAGTGGTGGTGTTAGGTTATTCCTTTTGGGGCTCTCAGCTATTATATTAACATTATAATAACTTCGTTTGGGCATTTCACACTTGGTCAAGTGTGTTATTTAACCCCAAAAGAAATTTGTTTATTTTAAATCCATTTTAGCTCCATTTTTACACACGCACACAGGCCATCGGCCGCATTCACTCCAGGCCATTGGCCTTTCACTGTCTCAAGGCCATCGGCCATTTACACGCATGCAAGGCCATTGGCCTAACTCACTCATGGCCATTGGCCTCACACTGTCACTAGGCCATCGGCCTCACATACATGGGGGCCTGCAGCCCACCACATATACAAGCCATCGGCTACCATATTTCGGCCATCGGCCTATTACACGATGCATTTTAACAATGCCCTGTTGTATCAGGCTTGTTGCCTGATAGTGTATATAACTAAGTACTGTAAATATATTGTTTGTGTGTGTAATTTTCATGTATGGTTTGTTTTGATTTCATAATGGCTGAGTAGTTACCAGAAGGCAATTTGAATAAATTTGTAAATAATCATTTGTGTTGGTTTTATATAAATGGTAACCTAACAACAAAGCTTTATGATAAACATGATGACTTCAACTTTTCAATTGTCAACTTCCCTTACTTGTGTAGCAATATACCCTTATCACCTGCATATGGGGTTTATGTCTCTCAGTTGATTCGATACGCAAGTGCATGGTCTATGTATGAACAATTTCTAAAATGAGGCAAGCCATTGACAATCAAGTTGATGAAACAAGGATATCAACAGTCTCATTTGAAGTCATCTTTTCTCAAGTTTTATGGTCAATACAATGACCTTGTCAGCACATACAACCTACCATTGAGTCAAATGCTGACTGATGTTTTTCATACTAATTGTTAGGCCATTATTTACACTGAACTGTCTACGGATTTCTCAGTTATAACCCGATCATGACAAGGAGCACACAGCGGGTGTGACTGGTGGGCATGGGATGCTCACTCCTCCATGGAACCTAATCTCTCTAAATTTTGAGGTCCGTGTTTGCTCTGCTTCAAATTTGTATCGTTTCATTGGACATTTGAGATTGAATACTGTTCATTATCTTCATATTTTATCCTCATCTGAAACTGGAAATGATCACAATA